CAAAATTAACAACCAGATGAAAGAAATCGAATGCGGGAACGCCACTGACTTCGTCACTGCGCTATCACTGGCAGAGTGTGCAAGCATTGGTGTGGAACGTCTTGAGGCCCCCATCAACGAAGACGGTACACACCAGGCTGAACAAGTCTCTCAGTCACTTTATTCATACCTCGATGCTAAGCCATGGATTGGCCACCCCGAAGTTTCACCCAATTTCGTGCAGCCAAGGCGTATGATGCACGCCGAGGAAGCCGGTTAAAGGGTATACACAGGATATCGTCAAGCCAAAGCAAGCAACTAAGATTTAGCGAACACACGAATGAAACACCAGAAGGCTGCATACCGAAAACCAACAGGCGGACCTCAGCATTGCTCACTCGGTGTTCAAACCAGACGTGATCAATACTCAACAACTACCGGTGGTCGAACGCGCCCAAGCGTTTATTGTCTTCACTACGAACTCGCCAGGTCTCTGGTCTAGCCAATACCACCGGCCTTATCGTAGCGTTAGACACACTACTTTTCACTGACAAGCTGATATCCCGTGGTCTCCATAAATGGTTGGGCCTCTGAAAAGCTGTAAGGGCCTTGCTGATCCGAGAGGTAACTTTCTCAGTGATGTGAATACCAAAGGTGACACAGCTACCAAGGTAAGTGAACCGATTCACAACTTCTAGTGGCTGTTCTGAAAAACATAGAACCGGGGGTATGTCTATCCAGTTCTACAACAGTACTTTGCATTTTGAAGCTGCAAAGCACACGCCGAAGCGTGCAGCAGTACGCGTCAGTCTATCCAGCAGTGTTTGCATAGCCATTGCGTCGGACCCAAGAACAGCTATATTTTCCGCACACCATAGGTATGTCAGTCGGTCCCCTCGCGGAACTTCCACTCCGGTAGAGTCGGAAATCACGGATAGGTGAGCACTCATCAGAGACAAGGAAGGTTATTAATGGTGCAGTAAAGGCAGCGTACTCGGGTCTATTAGTTTCCTGACATACATAAATGATATGTTTACCGTAATCAAGAACGGTAGATATTACCTGTTTGCCGATGATATGAAAATGTATACCTGGTCTGTTTGGAAGAGTGGTGCTCTAGTTCCGCAATGAGTTTTTCGACCAAGAATTACAATATCATGTTTTCCAGCAGGAATCCGTATTCGGAATAACCTCCCACTTCCCATAGGTAATTCTATCTGTGGTTTGGATTTGCGTTACGCCCGTACGCTTAATCTTAAAGAACAAATTAGGCACGTTACGGCTAAAACACGACAAACCATTGGAATGATGAGACGCTGATGCTAGACTCCTGGCCTTCAGAGTTTATGCCCGACCTATTCTATAATACTGTACAATCCCCTTCATCAGCATAGGAAAATGTGATAGACTGAAAAATGAAACAATTCAAAGATCCTTTACAAAATGACTTGTGGCTTGCACATCTATCCTATCATACAAAGATAGGAGGTAATCTGCTAAATATCGAGCCATTGTGGCTTCGAAGCGATGTCCGGCTTTACAAAATTGTTCATCAACAGACGTGTACAAATTTTCACAAACCGAGATTCCAAGAAGCTTCTCCACATTATCTGAAAAAGGAGAATGATAAACGCACCCCGCTGTCGCACAAGACTCCGGTGCAACTCCTTTACGCTTAAATACCCACTGCTACGGAATATACTGCCCCAAACCATCAGAATTTCAGCTCCAATTGGGCATGTAAAAAGTAACTACACAACTACCACCTTCCAAAAATAAAACAGCAAAGAATCGTCTAGTTTTGATTGCGCGGATGAATATGTATATGAATGCGAACCTAATGATATCCGTATTGTTCAGTCCTCCAAATGCATTCCATAATATTTTGTCTCTTTGAAGTGTTCGCATTCAGACTGAAGAGAGCACTGGAGTCGTATTTTTCAAACGGCCAAGTCACTCCATCGTTGGAACGTACATTATTCCACCCGGTGTGACAAAAATAGGACCTCGACCCTCTCACCTTTCATGAGTAATATACACGTCAGAATGACATCTTCTATGCTATTTATAGCATCTGCTTTGGCTATTGCTTACGTGACTGCTATGTATTTTATGATGCGTCATGAACAAGAAAATTATGGTTTGTTTTATTTCACCCTTCCTTCACTGTTGGCCACGAGTTCGCCTATCTGCTGTGGTGACACAGTGAAGCTTTTTTATGTGAATCAGTGTACAAACGCAAGACGAAATGTCCACAAATCCAATGGCGGCAACAAAAAAGTGCTATACTTAGAAGAGTTAAATGGGTCAGATTGCCGAAGTGGGATCCTTAGTTGCATATTAAATGGCCCGAAAGAGAGTTAGAGCGGTGATGAACTGTCTGATTTTAGGTCACACTGGAATGCGGCCAAATTGGGCTGAAGTGCCTATACAAATCACATATAAACATGACCTGAGATATGAATCAAAGCGGCGATGGCGTGCACGCCTTTAAGCCACACTGGCACATTGCCAGATGGGCGTGGAAGTGCTGATAAAACCTTAAGGGGGAATGCCCACATGAAAATAGGTACCTGAGAGACAGCTCTATGAATGGCCATGCTACTTTAATTGAGCCTTTGATTGTTTCCTTTCCTCGTTAAAATCTGATACATCCCTTGCTCTATAGTAATCCATTTGCTCCTTCCTGTGGTTGGAAGGATGTAACACGACTGTAAAATGCTAATCATTTCGGAAAGAGTAAGTCTCGTGAAACGGAGTCTATAGTTTATTATTATTATTATTATTATTATTATTATTATTATTATTATTATTAGAAATGTATGTCGCTGAGTTGTCCCAATAAATGTCATAGACAAACGTAGGTTGCGGCATTCTTCAGTTGATCAATGCAAATAAGGCGTTCGAAGTGTGCTCCAGCGGAGATCAAGTCAAAGAAGCCAAAAACAATATGCAGCAGATGACGATCATTTCTTTTACGGCGAGGTACCATTGCTAAAGCGACAGGAGCCCGTGGTCAACAGAATCAAGTAATATGAATGCAATGTCACAAGTAAGCGAGATTCGATGAAGCAGCATATGAAAAGAAATACGACGATGTGTAAGGAAACACGGAAATTCGGCGTGCAAGCCTTGGGAGGACTCACGTACCAACTGGGAATAGTGAATTAAGCTGAGATAATTCAAAACCCGGGCTAAATTCACACAAATCAGGCATAAGTGATGAAGCGCTTTAGGCGCACTAACCCGACTCGAACAAGGGATGACCCAGAGGCGGCCAACATGACCAGCCAGCCTGATTATAACAACCATTCCAGTGGATGTCGCCAAGAGCTCGCAGGGATGCGATATTTTTGGTTAAGCTACCAGAAGCGCAAATAATCACGAGTGACTTCGAAGCAAGTCATGGTAATCTTCAGTGACATGGCATCGTCTTCGCAAGCCATACACTAGTACATTGCAAATGCAAGCGACTGCATGCGATTCAAGATGCTGACAGAATAGGCGACTCTCGATAGGAACCGGGACTTAAACCCGGGGCGCGGTAGTTGAAATCCAGATATTTAATCTACTACACCCAGACCATTTAGTTATCGAGATGAGAACAGGCTAGTTGAATACGACTACAAGTTCACCCCGGTTCGAAACTGCGTAGATGAGGGGCGAGCACCCAGTATGTTTAACCCGAGTGTGACTGGCGATGGTCGCGTGGCAGCGGAGCGTCGGTACGAAATGCCGGTGCACTGATGGTGCCTTCTTTACCATATGCATGACTGACAAAGGTCAGGAACAACCGTTCGCCAACATTTCAAGCACAGGAGTACGCCGGATCCAGTTGGTTTGCATAATGTAGTTACAAAAGTGGCAATTAACAATGGGAAGATTAGAAAGATAAAAACAAGCAGAAAGTCGTTTCAATCACTGGAGCTAATGATCAAAAGCAAGGGAGAATGTGAGGGCTGCGCTAGTTTCGTGATTGGCCACGTCAGTATGGTTGCTATTAACTGGTAGTATACGACATGTACAAGCCCAACTCGATCTTTTGGTGTTTCTCTAAACTTCCTTGTAATGTCACTCACTGGACGACTGCCGCTAAACAATACAAGCCGAGGAAACAGGTCATTAGGCATGCAAACGATAGGACAGCCTAAACACGCGGATCATGCTTGACAGAAAGTACAGTGGTACACATGAAAACCTGCTGCCCACCCGTAATCGACGGATATCACAGTTACTGGTTGGGAATTTCCAATAGATATGAGCAACAGTCGGCAGACATGATCAGCGGTAGCAACAACAGCAGAAGTACATCAACAATATGAAGTGATGTCTCGGTGTCAAACAATTATGAGGACTTGGGGAATGAGGAATAATGGAGGAAGATCGGAATCTAATGTGGAAGCTAAATGCCCTAAGCAAACATTCGGGGTCAAGGCGCCTACACGATCATGTTGTGCGATCAAATCTTGTAATCGAAGAATTTAGCTTACCCGGCATGCGGCCCGTGTAGCGCTACAATAGCTTCTGTGTATGGTAAGAACAGGATAAATGTATACACTTCCTGGTAGGAAATATTCTTTCTTCCATCCATTCCGTAGTAGGGTCAACCAGATATACATGAAGTGAGCGAGGATTGGTGCTCAAAAAGTGATCATAAAATGGCAGAAATTTCATCGAGTTGGAATAAAAATATATATAACGCGAAGTTGCGCTATCAAGTGTTATGTGAGATAAGCGGAATACTTTTAAACGGAAAAAAGCGTATTCAGAACAATTGTCCGACTAAGTCAACTCTGCGAGAAAGATGAGCGTGGTCACAGTTAGATAAGCTAGATGGCGTAGAAGTTTTCGTCAACAATTAGAAGTAAACAAGACTAGAATTCAACCTCGTTAGGCTCCAAATAAGTTTTCCAGAGTGATGTTCCGTGCAAAGTGTGCAGAATGGCAGTCTGTGTGCAGGATGTGTGCTAAAAACATGTGGCGGAAATAATGGCAAACGGCTTGAGCATATGATCACTCACCGGAAGTGGCATCTTTAGAGAGTTTCTCATCAGTTGGAAGCGTATGCTGAGTGGACTCCAGCGGCTTCATGTCGTTCTCTGGTTTCACGTCCACTTGATCCTCTTCCGGCTTAACCGACTTGGAGTTAGATCCGCTGATCGCCTTGCGACGACCTCTCCCACGCGTGCGGCCAGTACCGAGAGGATGAAGCACGTTGTTGGACGAGTTCACAGCAGTATCACACAAACGGCCACCGAAGAAATCGCGTTGGATAGCGTGAAAGTTCTTGCCACGGATTCGCAAAGCGTGGGCAAATAAGCGAACCTGATCGGCCGTCCAGTGACGTGGAGTGTTCTGCATGGGAATGGAGCGACACGGGAGAAGAGAGCAATGAAATTAAGAATCGTGGACAGAAACCTCTGTGAGCAGGTAATTGGTCGTAGGATCATAATATATATGTGACTGCCCATATACGAATAGTCATAATCTGCCACAGCAGAAAAACATGCATGGATAGCTCATACCCCTCCATGTATGTATATGACAGGTCCCAAGTAGGGGTCACGACGGTAGTCTACAGTCATACTCCCCAGCTGGACTTGCCCCCCACTGCCTTGTCAAATGCTCCACGTGAAACCCCTCTCAAGTAGGCTTTAATTGTTTGCAATACCCTGTGCGTTAGACTGTTGAGTCAATGGCAAGAAGTACAGCACTTCAAACAAAGCTTCTCCAATGGAATAGGAAATCGGACAGTATATGCTATTCATTCGTACTGTTTTCATTTTCTCCCTTCAAAGTCCTTGCATGGCTGGATAACGGGGAAGATGCCGTCGTGGACCACACAACTAATGCTATGGATGTGTTTAACTCGTCCTTCCAATCAAGGACCACATTGCACATTTGTTCGTTGTCGTTCAACGTTCGCAGTCAGTTCAGATCGGTCGGCAGACGCAGTTTACTCTTCGTAGCTGATGTGTGCTGTGGTTCTAGGAGATGCATAGAAGAGAACAGGATGACAACAAACCGTAGACTACTCGGTAGCGGAGCAACCGACCATGACTACATCCTTCGAGCCACTAACGATACGGAGTATAGGGTTCCCACCATAACACTGGCATGGCTCTTAGTAAATATACTGAAGGCAACCTTCACAACTGGATACCACCGAACAGCTGCAAACGTGCTGCCGGATTGCAGACCTCCATTGGGATTAATAGGCACCGTCTGAGAATAAGGTGCCCTTCATCGTATCGGTTTATGTCCTAACCGGCTGCAGTACGGATAATATCAAAAACGAATTCCATCGAACGCGGGCATCATGGCTGATGCTGGCAAGATAAAGCTTAGGGTGGGTCACTCATCGGACTCAGAACAATGCCTAGGTGGTTGCATTGGATTCCGTGCACATCAAACAGACAATGGCAATCGAGCTCCTCAACGATGTGCTGACCACAATCACTATATTGTCCGCGTTGCTTTCCAATGCAAACACTCAACGCGTTAACAAATACCCATCGCATTCCATGATGGTCTGGGTCCACATTGAGCATATTGCTAACAGCCACCTATGGCGTAGTTCAGTGCAAGTCGTCCCAGTGCACGCAAACATAGCGCTCATTTTTTCGGCTTCAGTGAAACGCTCACCTTCTAGACTTCTCTAATGCAACCTGGACTCGATATCCGCGATTTTGGGATATCACGAAGAAATGGCTCGTCGATTGCTAATGACGAGTGAGCCGAGCGCCAACTAAAAGCGTCTCAAACATATTATGGGGACTACATTTGAAATCTCTTATTCGGCCAAATGGGGACGTCTAAACTGTGAATAAATTACTGAGGCATCGAGCAATTTGAGCGAATGACATTGACAGGTTCCGTTGGGTAAACATGGTCAGCATTGCCCCAGCAACCTAAAACGGCGTTTTACTAGGAGGAATAGAACTGCCGGGAGTGTTGGCGGGTAACATGGGCCATGAGGTGCAGAAAGCCGGTAACATTTGGAATAGAGAAACATGATGGTTGGTTATTTCGTTTATCTGCGTGACTGTACAATTTCCGACAGTCAAATTCCTGGGTAAGTCACTTCACAAACCAGCAAGACCAGCGTGGTCTTTCATAGTACCAATAATCTGCGGAGACGACGGGATGTCAGCCTGCCAGTCAAAACTGCGGTGACCAGTCAACATCATCATCCCCATAATCGTCCTCGTCATCATCATGCGTGTTAGCTGAAGATTAGACCGGTGTTTCTTTGAGCAACATAAAAATGGTTAATTCGCATTGAAGGTACCAAAAAAGATAGTGTTTGATCACCTATATCTGCGGAGCATTGCGGGAATTTGGTGGAAGGATCGAGTGCGCATTATTTGATTCGGATAAACAAACTAAGTAAGGCTGTCGACAGTGGGAAGAGATAAACAAGAGCCATAACTATGTGACATACCAAAGCACGCAGAAAGCAACAGTGGATCCATTTCAAAGTGGCTCTAAGGTTGACGAACGTCACGTACTTACGACCAACAGTAGTAGTGGCAAGTGAATCGATGGAGTGGAGGGATGATCAGCAGCGTTTCACAGGAGCTTGGATGTTCAGTCACCAGGGCTCGATTAGGAAGGACATTGTGAGCTGCTAACATATCTGCCCTCAAGAGTAGTCGGAAATTATCAAATCAGCAAAATGATCGGCTTAGTTCCGAGAGGATGAGTCACGAAATTGCAGGTCTCGCCAAACAGCGTCAGTCCCATGAAACATGATGGCCAGAAGGGAAGCTGAGCGAACGACTTCCTCGAGGTGCTAGCTGGGTAGTTCGGGTCAATCACGATCCAGCGAATGGTTCGGCGGCAATATTCCTGGACGTGGTGGGTTTGTGTCTGGCAAGCGTTTTCTCTATGAAAACGCTACAAAGGTCGGTTTAACAGCACTGCGACAGGGCAAATGTGATTCTACGATAACTAATGTCACAGTCTCATGCATACCTGGATGGTCGTACCCATTCCGTGGACGCTAGTCATCCAATAGGAAGATTTCATTTCACCTCTTTTCACGCAGATGACCCGACCGAACACAAGCACAAATGCAGCGTTACGTTTACACATCCAAGCAACACAGCTATATGCATTCATACCTACATACACACGTCTACATATACCACATAGATCCAGTATGCCGCTGGTAAACTTACAAGATTATTACACATTTACCGATCATTCGTATTCGTATCACCATGATCACGCGTATACAGGCGTGTCTTGTATTGTCGGGAATAAACAATTTATTTATTTGCTTAAGGGAGAATAGGCATGTTCACTACTGTTGTAATGATAACAATGATGATGCGTATATTTCTTGATTGCGCGAGAAGCTGTCCCCGAATTGGGGACAGATCATGAATACAGTAATGAGTATGCTCATGTGTGAGTGAGATATGTATTTCGGAGCCCTTGTGTCATGAAATTTTGAAACACATCATTGTTGGTGATGAGTATTGTGTAACGTATTTGCTTACTGGTTATATATTCCTTGGTTAATCACGGAAGAACTCGTTTAGTGATTTATCCGACAGAAACATAGTCATAATCATGTTCTGGTACAAGAAGTTTCTAGGTTTAATGCAGAATGTTCCTGAATCTGTGCAAGACCTGATAGTGGCTGGTAGACTATTCCACATGACAGCGTATCTGACGAGGAAGAAGTCGTATAGAATAGCTGTCCTGGTTCTGAGCACATGTAGTGTACAAGTCTTGTTGCGTGGTTTCCGGTTGAGGTTATGTTGCAAGTTTAGTGGTCTAGGAGATCGTGCATCAGCATCAGATTAAGTTTACGTCGTCGCCACCAAAAGAGCTGGAGCTTAAGCTGCTGATAACAATCCTAACAGTTCAAAAGGAGATGATTACTGAAGAAGCGTTTAGTGAATAATAATTGCAGATTTTCCAAAATTTTCCTGTCACCTATAAGCATGTGTTCTGAAATGATGCTGCAGCATTCAAGAAGAGGAAATGTGAGCATTCTGGAATACTCAATTCTGGCAGGGACCAAATGGATTTTATGACATAGGTTGGCCATAGATCGTTTGGCTCGTGCTAGTTGATACAGCTTGCTCTGAGAAACTGAGGTTTGACGTGTCTTATGCCCAAATCATAGTTAGACAGTTTCACACAGATGTGTTCATTATCCAGTTTAACTGACTTTGATGCAAGATTTACTAGCTGAGAACTTTATCATCCATGTGTCGCACCATTTCGCAAGTGAATATCAAGTGAATATCTTCCTGAACGAGTAGCATTGCGCTATGGAGTTGATCTCACCGAAATTTATCGATAACCTTAAGTTCATCATTGAGGAAAATTGGTCTGACATGTTTGTTGGGGGTCGTAATATCACTAATGTATAGTGGGAAAAGGGAAGTATCAAGTACATACATGGTCAACACAGCGACCGACTAAGAGCTACAAGACTAGAAGGAGCGTATGAACTTTCTTCTTGAGGTAAACCACGGTCATCAAATAGTATGGAACACTTGGATGAACAGGACATCGAAATTCGGTGTGAGTGTGAGGAACCGACAGCGGGTTCAGAAGTTTGTATCATCGGATAGAACAGTTGGGAAGGAGCGCATAATAAGCAAGTGGCTTGCAGCATCAAAAAGGTCAGTTTAGACGAAGGAACAACACTCTTCCTATTCATATAACTACAAGTGAAGATCACCAGTGAGATAAATGTGGAACAGGAAAACTATAATGAAAAATAACAGGTAGCGGTGTACACGAAGAACAACCCGATTGGCCACAGTCTCGATCGAAGCCAACTGAAAGAGCGCCGCGCTGGCGACTAGGATGCCGGTGTGTACGTCGAGAAAAACGTTTTCTGTAATCGTCCGAAATAAAAGGAAATTTGACAATTTATATACATTACGAAACACGGATAAAGCAGAAGCATGCAGTGCGACAAATGCATGTACCAAGGAATACTGCTCTAATGAATCGCGGGCAATGCTGGTCTCCAGCAAAGCAAATGTGTTCATTTCATTAATAGGAATCAATAACAGAAATCACTTCAGGATAAAGAATTCTTTTTGGTAAACTCTCATAAGACCCAAATGTTTACATAGAACTGATTGTGAAGAAGGCATTAACTCAGGCTGGGATTGACTTTTGGGCTGTTTGAACGATTAAAATCGATTGCTTGAAACAGGGATATAGATGGTAAGCCAAGTGGACTACATAAACATGCATACACAAAGCTCAGTAGTCCGAAGTAGGTAAGAACCAAAGAACTATCTAACAACGTCAGCTGGCCACGATAGTAGTTCGGCCGTATGAATCGTTTTTGTACACATAATTCCGGCTTCAGATGG